AATAGGTACTTTAACCTGCCGTGCTTGGTTAAGCCGACAAGGACGCGACCAATGTTGAACTCGGCTGGGATCCATCAACCACGCAATAGGACGGAAACTTTTTTGGGCCTCCGCCGACAAATACCACCTCAGGTGCTCAGAACATTGTCCCTGTGTGGCAGTTGATCTTTTGTTTACCGGCAACATGTTGCACTTTCCCGAGCCACCAGGGTGCTATAAAGCTTGGCATAAACTAGCTACACTAGGTCATATCTTTCAAGTCATGTTGTCCTAGAAGAGGTAATGACTTGTATGTTATTGGCTGCTCCCTTTCTAACTCATTTTCACAAACAGCGAATAAACTGCGGGAACACCCAGACAAAACATTTGATCTTGATGCTGTCAACGTGCCGACTGCAAATGTCACAAGCAGGGCCATCTCCTTCTGTGAGCAGTGTCTTATTCTCTACAACTGTCGGGTGAGGGCGTCAGCTTTTCAGAAAATTAGGCGGCCATCAATGCAAAATACCGCCATCATCGCACGTATAGCCGAAGATCCCTCATTCGGGCTTGCTGGACAGGATCTGATCAACTATATGTCAATCTTGTCGATTACCATATCTCATCTCCATGATTGGGTCCTCAACTCGTCCCGAACGGATGAGGAGGTCCGCGACCCCCCGCATTTCCCTAATGGCGGAATCCTGATAGGAGTAAGGCATGCCCCTTGAGGTTGTCATCTTTGCAAATATGCCAAGGAAATACTACACCCGGCCCTCAGGAACACGAGTTCATCGCCGATTTCCGCCTACACAAAAATTACAATCACGTGACAAGTTTTGGAGTTCGTTGCTAGATCTTGCTCTTACTTTCCACTCTGGATATTTATAAAAGGTAAATAAGACTAATAAAGGCTGGTTATAGTGAGGCGAAGTTTCTTTACCCCCTTCGACATACTCTGAAACTGTGCCATCCTTTTTCAGAGGCATTTCCCCGCATCGGCCCCGGAACGAGCCAAATCGTGATCATGGACGACAAATCACGGTTCTAGTTATCCTAAACTGGCATATATCGTGTCAGACGACTAGTCTGTTGATTCTTTCGGGAATCCCCCTGATCCTTCTTTTCGCCGTGAACTGGCCGCGATGGCAGCTCAACAAACGACGGCATTTTAACGTCGTTATCAATCTTTTGCATACCATTTCAGGCTCTGACCTGCAAGGGTCGAATGGCCTCGGGTCTAGCATAAAAAGGGTGCCCACAGGTTGAGCAAACCCCTATCTGGTCGTTCCCACATTCCCTTTCCCAGTATGCGTA